AAAGTAAAAGATGAACTAAGTGTATCAAAAATAAAAAGTGCCCAATGTTTGCATAAAACTGTTAAAAGAGACATAAAATGAGTCCAATCTAAATTAGCTTTCCTTTTTGGTAAATCTTTAAGTTTTAGAAAAATCTGATGTTAATATGTTTAATATTTGATTATGGAAAATCTTGGTACTTCGTTCATCATTTTTATAGTATTATTCTATTTGATATATTTCATACTAACACTCTTAAAAGGCTAAGTTTCCCTATCTAATTGTAATTCATGATTTAGATTTTTTTTTAAAGAAAGGATTTTAGCATGTGAGGTTGGTAAGCTGGATGTGCAAACTCTAGAATCCAAAATTTTTGGTTGCAAGATAATCAACGAATCTCTTATTTGTCTTTTTTGTGTGTAGGGTAAGTTCATCACTTTCTGAAAATGCTCATGCAAGTTAATAGAAGTGTGATACTTTGAGTTGTTAATCTGTTTGCATTATTTATTTCATATTTTTGTTTCTATTTTTTTTTCTTCCTATTGTTTTCCTCTTTTTGTTATGTCAGAAGGGGGAGTAGTATTTTGTTGTTTATTATTATTTTTGTTATTATTGTTGTTATTTCTTTTTACACTCCCATTTTTTACTCTTCTTTTACTCGAAATTGATTTTCATCAAAGGGGGAGACTTGTGTTTGTTGATTGGTTCTTTATTTTGTATTGTTATCTTTTATAGGGGAATTTTTTTAGAAGAAAGCATTTAAGTGGATATCTTTGCTAAGAAACCTTGCACACATATAGGGGGAGAACGTAATGTTTTTGTTAGAGAGTATATTTTATTAAGTAATTCGTAATGCATTATTCTTCTTTGTATTGTAAGCTACATCTATCGTACTGTACGATTTAATCTCATTCCATACAATCTGTTGCGCTCTGCCAAACCTTAGCTGCCAACGTGAAGAAATATACTAATTTTGTATTGATCATACAATACGATCTATATCATACTATATGCCCTAATTAATATCTTTGTTAATTAATCCCGTGATAACAGGCAATCAAATTATGAAGATTTTTTGTGAATGATCGTATTGTATGAACTGGTTCATACTATATAATTACCCGTGTATGGTCACCCCTCGGAGCGTACCAAATGAAATATATGATTTTTTTATTGATCGTATTGTATGATCTCCATAGCGCTAGACGATTACCCGTGTACGAAGTTGGCCATCCCAAGGATCATCCCAAACAAATAGAAGGATTTTATGCATATCGTACTGTACAATTTTGGATTGTATTGTATGATGTATTATAAATTTTGAACAGTTTTTTCAAACAATGTTGCTGGATAATTTTTAATTGAACTGATCGTACAGTACGATACGTCTATTGTAATGAATGAACAAAAGATGGATGGCTTAAAAATTAGGATTTTTTGAAGCCATCTATTTAAGGATCTCTGACACTCTTGTTAGATATTTTTGTCTGCTTAGTCTTCTTGAGAGGGAGCTTGAGGGAGAGAAGAAGGAGAGGTTGGTGAGAGAAGAGAGGGAGAAGTTGTGAGGGGATTCACAAGGTTTCTCAAAGCAAGAATCTTTCATAGTACCTACAAGCATTTGCTTGGAATCTCTATGGCTCCGGAGGAGAAGTTCTTCAGCATGCAAAGATTGTGGTTCTTGACCATCACCTTGAGGGTGAAAATAGATTTGTGGTTTTCTAAACATCACCAAGAGGGTAAAAATAGAGTTAAGGTTTTCCACCTGTAAAAGTTTCATGGTTCTTTGCTGCACCGAGGACGTGAAACAACATTTGTACAGACTTCTCCACCTTATTATGGGAGCAAAAGGAGAATCACTTCTATATACTGCAATACTTGGAGAGGGAGTCTCCAAGGAGTGGATGTAGGTCAGGTTGACCGAACCACTATAAATTTTGGTGAGTTCTTTCTTTTTACTTTTACTACATTTTAATTTATGCAGTTTTTTTTTTGTGATTTGAAGTGGTCAAAAACTTCTTATTTTATTATAATAAAATTAGTTCTATTTTCACATCAAGAGGTTTAAAATTCTTGTTTGATTAAGAAAATTTTTGTAGCTACCAATTCACCCCTCCCCCTCTTGGTTAGCCTCAGGACTAGTTCTTTAGGGTTTAACCACCCTCACAAACTTTCAACCCGTTTAACTTATGAAATGTGATATAATATTAATTGCTAGCAACAAGACTGATTCCTATAAGGTCAGCCTACATGATTAGATACAAAAAAAAAAAAAAAAAAAAAAAAAAAAAAAAAAAAAAAAAAAACACCACAGGTAACTGGATGTTATATCTTGCTATTATATGTATATGACATGAGTATATAAAAAAATTTGCATAAATGAAATAATATCATACGATATACACACGATACATGATATTATTGATTTAGGCACATGATATGACTAATAAGATTTATCTAAAGACATAGTACACATGAAATACATGTTTATATATTGTATTACATATGCTAAAAATACATAATATACATGTATTGATACTTAATGTTATATGATATTGACAGAATAAATCTTCACTAGCTTAATATGACATCTATAATGATTTATATGAAATAAAATATAAAATAAAATAAAGTATAATGAATTGACATGTATAGATTCATAACAGACACGCTATATTATACTTGACATAAGTATATGAATGATATAACACACTAATCCCTTTATATGCCTACTAATAAAAAAACTCAAATTATATTACTTTTAATGATTTATATTGCTCATATGGAATGATACTACCTATATTGATTGTCACCTGTTTGTATAATTATATGGTTACACTGGCATGCATCGAATGATTACATGTATACTACTTATATTACCTTGTATTGATTATAATTGTAGATTTTAATAACTTATTGAGTTGTTAGTTCACTCAATGATTTTCATATATTTTTAAGAAGGGGTCAGAATCTAGTGAAGTATTGCATATTAGGACTTATGTGTTTAGTTTTGTTTGTTTTTGCACTTCTATTTTATTCTTTTATAACCATAAATGATAAGAGATAGATTGATGTTATTTAACAAATTTTTAGTTATTATATATGGATTTTAAGGAATAAATTTAGATTGATTTGAGGTATATGATTTATTGTTGCTTTTGATAGTTTTTTATTTATTTAAATAAGATTAGTGGCTCTGATAGATTAATTAAGAGAAAAGATAGATAATTCTTCCAAATTTAGATTTTGGGGCATTAGACGCCACCTCCATTTTTCCCTACATGTGCAACCACCACATCGTAGTATCTTAGGGCACCACATCGTAGTCTCTTAGGCCACCACAGCACGAGCTATCACCAACTATAACTTCATTTGGGGAAACTTTCTTATTGCTTTCTAAAGCTGTTTTCTAGCACAAATTTATAGTTAAAAAAAAATGTATACTACAAAGTTGCTTTAAAAAGTAATAAGAAAGCTGCTCCAAACAAAGCTTATATCTCAACCTCTCTCTCTAAAATCACTTTCTCATTCTAAGTATTCAAAATACACTAATTTCATTTTACTCCGCATACAACCAATGAAATAAAAAAAATCTCTTACATTTATCTTACATTATATTTCTTTTACTCTTAATTTCTTTTTGATCAAACTAAACAACCATTAAGGCTTGATTTGAGATAGCTTTCTTATTGCCGGGTGGAATCAACCTTAATTCTTTAGAGGGAAAAACTTATTTAGTTCAAAGATTTAATTGAACTGTTTGGTTCAACTTCAATCTTATTTATACAATATTATTAAAATAATAAGGCTATCTACAAATATATAATATAACATATAAATTATTTATTTGTGAAACTATTGCTCAAAAAAGTTTTCAAACCAAAAATATCAAATATCTACTAACATTATGTTAGCAAACTAAACAATAAGCTTATGGCTTGAGTTACTCTGATGGATGGATGGTGGAAAGAAACTATTGGACTGTAGGGATACTGTTTTTTATTTCTGAACTCCTACAGATTCCCATATTTTTAAACTTTTGATTTTTCTACAGAATCGTAATCATGACAATTATATAAAATATTTCTGTTGTAGTTATTGTAAATATAGGAGGGTGTTGCCATTTATTTTCACATGATCACATCATAAATAAATAATCTTTTGAAATAATAACACTACATAAAATTGATTATAGAGTCAAATTTGAGGTAAAATGCTAATTATATTAAAAAATAGAGCTTACGATAAGAAAAGAAGACATTGCAGTCTGTACGCATAGATGAACGTTTTTTTTTCTTTGAGTTTTGACCTTCAAATTATAGGGCTGTGAGGAGCGAACGAAATGCACGAAGAAGACAGTCGAGCTCGTGATTTTCCTGGGTGCATGAAAAAAGATTCGGCTTGAGCTAAAAAAAGATGGGGGGGGATTACCAAATGACCCCTGTTAACATAGAGTTTTAATTTTTTTAGAGGGGAGGTAATTGCCCAAATTCTGATTATTATTTTTTAAATTATTTTTTTTAATAAAAAAATTAACTTTATATTAAAATATTTATTTTAAAAATAGTAAAAAATTTATTGCAAATCAAGCTTTAATATGTCTGTTTTATAAGAACTTTTATTTGGTTCGGTGAACGTACGCATAGCTACGTTCGGCCGACACTAAGATCGCAGGCACGAAACGAGAAATACCGAGCAATACCAATAATAACGAGAAATATCATTATGTGAAGATAAAATACCGATTAATACCGAGTAATACCAAAAAATACCGAGTTTTTTTCTAGAAAAACTCGATATTTTTTGGTAATATTCGGTATTGCTCGGTATTACTCGATATTGATCTTTTCCAAAATGATATTCTTCATTATTATCAAACAATACTAGCAATACCGATGAAATACTAAGCAAAAATTGAGTAACAATCCTTTGACCGTCCGACCAAGGATCAGAGGATGTAATAAAAATTCATTTCATAAATAGGATGGAGCCATTTACTAGGATAATATTAGTCTTGGAGAGCGTACCGTTATTGGCGAGCAAGTCTGCGCGCCGTTTGTATAGATTCTCAGATTTCGCTGCAGTTTTTATGGATGCTGAAACCCTAACACTAACGACTTCTGACCTCTTCCTTTCTTCCTTCGGCACCTTCGCCGCTGATTCGCCTCAACTGCTGCCTCCTAAATCTTTCGAATTACTTTCCCAATCCTCCTCTCTACCCAGTGTACCCTCGCTTGTACCAACTTCCAAGCTTATTCCTAACTCCTGTTTCATCGTCGATGGCTTTCGAACGGCCGGAGATTTTTCAATCTCCTACTTCCTTTCCCATTTCCACTCGGACCATTATACCGGCCTCAGCCCTAACTGGTACCGTGGCATCATTTTCTGCTCTGAGACCACCGCTTCCCTTCTCGTGGAAATACTCAAAGTTTCTCCTCTCTTTGTCTATGCCCTACCTCTTAACAAGACTGTCACGATTGATGGAAGTAATGTCACTTTGGTGGACGCAAATCACTGTCCTGGTGCAGTCCAATTCCTGTTTGAAGTTGGACTAGAGAGGTATATTCACACTGGTGACTGCAGATTCTGCGACTCAATGAAACTTGATCCATTTTTACAGAAATTTGTAGGCGCTGACGCTGTTTTCTTGGATACCACTTACTGTAATCCTAAATTTGTGTTCCAGTCTCAAGAGGAATCAATTGAATATGTTGTAAAAACTATTCAGAGAACCAAGGAAGAAAATAAGGGATCAGCTAAATCAGTATTGTTTCTTATTGCTACATATATTGTTGGAAAAGAAAGGATTTTGCTTGAGATCGCTCAAAGATGCAATTGCCTAGTCCACGTGGATGGCAGAAAGATGAGGATTTTGTCAGTATTAGGGTTCGGTGATATTGGTGTTTTTACTGAGGATTCTTCAGCTAGTGATGTTCATGTGATTGGTTGGAACCTGTTAGGTGAGGTTTGGCCTTTTTTCCGACCGAATTTTGTGAAGATGAGAGAGATTATGGCGGAGAAAGGTTATTCAAAGGCTGTAGGTTTTGTTTCAACTGGATGGATGCATGAGGTCAAGAAAGATGGGTTTGCTGTGAGGGTTAAGGAATCTCTTGAGATCCATCTTGTTCCATACAGCGAGCATTCAAGCTATGATGAGCTTAGAGAGTATGTGAGGTTTTTGAGGCCAAAACGTGTTGTCCCGACAGTTGGTGTTGATCCAGAGAAGCTGGATGGCAAGCACGCAGCATCTCTGCAGAAGTATTTCAGGGGCTTGGTTGATGAAACCGCTAACAAGAATGATTTTTTGATGTCCTTCCATCAAAAGGCTGTGAAAGCTAATGAAACGAGCGAAAACTTTCAATCTACTGGCATGAATGATCCTGCTGAACCTGTGTATTCAGAAATAATAGAAGATTTAGCTCTGATAATGAACAAGTCACGTGAGCAAAAATGCTCTCTTGGAGAAGCAACCTTAATGAAGGAAGGGGGCATGGAAGCTGCAACGGAGGAGCTTCGTAACTGCTTGCCATCTTGGGTGAATGATGATCAGATTGTTAGCTTGATCAGATGTGCTGAAGGTGATGTAGTTAAAGCAGTTTCCGATTTCTTTGAACGGGAAACTGAGTACTATAATCACTCAAGTGTTTCAACTCAAATAAGACCAATTAATCAGCTTAGTCCTTCCGATGTGAAAATTTGTGAAGTAGTTGATAACAATTCAAATCAAGATAACAACATGGCTATTAAGAAGCTTGATATGGGAAGTTCTAGTGCAACAAAGCGAAAGGTTTCTAGCACTATTAAGAGGGCCAAAAAGAAAGGGAAGATTTTTCCAACTTTAGATTCAGTTGGACCAAAGCAATCTACAATAACAAAGTTCTTTGGTAAAGTTGCACCCATATCAGCTGATGTTGATGGTCATGTAATGAGTACTTCTAATGTGCCCCTCAACATGGTCAAGCCGCTTATAGTTGGTTCTGTTGAACCATACGAACAAGAGTTAGATCAGTTTCTTCAGGTGATAAACTATTGTATGGAGAGAAATGCCGCTGCTACTTTAATGGATAAAGCAAAGGGAAACATTGATGTAGCAGTGGATATGTATTACAGTACTTCTGATCGTCCAATTTTTAACGCGGAGGTATACCAAACTGCCCCTAGGGATTGTCATGCCATAAAGTGCACCGGGCAAATGAAGATTCTTTCGCCAGAAAAATCAGATATTCTTAGCATGTCGGTGGGGGAAACTTCAAAAGATGATGCTAATGTCACAACTGTTTTGCTGCCAATTGAAAAGTATTCACCCATTGAACATGGTTTGTGCATTTTTTTTAAATGAAATCAAATGCTTTTGCTCAACATCTTGATTATCAATTGGCCTTATCCATGTGATCAGATATATGAATCCTATTTATTTGCATTGAGTGCTACAGGAGATAATTAACTTTATTTGGTGCAAGTTTTTCCCCCCTTTTTGAGGAGGTGAAACTATTTGTGATCGGCATGTTTCTCTTTTTCTTTTCTAATTCTTTCACATTAGTTATGCTGTACATCTTTCTATTTTCATTTTTGTTTATTCATGAATCATGAAATGTGTTTAGAACATTCTGGCATTGCTTCTTTTTCTTTGTTTTTATGAGCTGTATAATACAAAAAACTCGATACATTCTTACAGCATGCTGGAAGGCTGGAGAGCCTGCGCCATATCTCCACCTGGCTCGCACTTTTGAATTGGCAGAGCAAGAAAAAGGCAAGATAAAAACATCTGCAATGTTTTGCAACATGTTCAGAAGGTCTGCTGAGAAAAGTTTCATTGTTTCATTTTATTTCCGGCCTGAGATTTCATTACTTTCATCAGTGTTTGCATGCACAAGTAGCTGGTCTTATTATTTGTTTATGCTGTACAGTTTGCTTGCTTTATCACCTGGTGATGTGCTGCCGGCAGTATATCTATGCACAAACAGGGTTGCTGCTGATCATGAAAACATGGTTTGCCTAGCTTCTCAAACTGAGGGTTTTTGTTTTTTACATTTCTTGATGTAGAAGACATTCCTTTCATAAAACAATTGCGGAAAGAAAAATTAACTTCATCTTTTTTGTGTAGCAGCATCTTTTTTAATATAACTGGAACAACTTCGCAAGATTTATTTTATTTTTTTTTAATAATTTTACCAAATACAAAGGAAATGAATAGTTATTCCTTCTAGAAGAATAATGCAACAGGAAGTCAAGGCTATAAAATATTCTACCTTCTAGAAGAACAATCCAGTGCAGAAGTAAATCAGAATATATTGCAGAAGTAAAATGAAGTTCACTAATGATTAGATAAGAGCACACTCCAATAAGTTAAATATTCAACCTAATTGATTTATAATGTGAATAAAAAAAGTAATGAAGTTGATATGGACACTAGTGATAGTAGTTTTTAACCTAAATAACAATTATAATTGTATGTTTGTAAAGAGAAAAATAACAAATTAGACAAGAATGTAATTGTAATGGAATAATTGCTCAGGTAGAGTGAGTGATAACTTAAGCTCACCCTCCACGAACAATCATTTGTTGTGTTGATCTTCTACCTTCCTCGGAAGTCCTCCAATGGTTTTGCATTCTTGCACTCATGATGTGTTTTACTTGAGAGGGAAAAGAACAATATACGAGCACAATATATTTTGTTTTCAATGAAATAAGATCTCATTGAACATTCATCAAAGTTATATATAATTTCACAAGACACAATATATAGATGTGAAGAGTGAATCCAAGAGGCATTGAGAGGGGTGATGGTTGGCCAAATATTAGGAGTGGACATTGAGTGGAGTCGATTTGTTGTGGTGTTTATAGGGTTTTAGGAAAGTTCCAAACATTTTCAATCATTCCAAGGGAAGGGTGATTTAGTTTCAATGATTGCAACATACATGACTAACTTAACTTATGACATAGTCCAACACATGATTAGATATATAGTACAACTAAAGGCGCAACATTGACCCAATAGACTAGCTCAAAATACGTGACATGATGTAAATCCTTTGGCACCCAAGGGTCAAAATACATGGACTAAAAAAGAACATTAAATAGGTCTTGCATACAAAGTAGTTTATACCCATGAAGTTTTATTTAAATGTCACACCCAAATTGATAGCAATCACATATCATTACTTGATGAGTTTGATGAATTAAATAAAAAGCATTCTGAGTTAGTTATTGAGCATGATTCATTGAAAGCATCCTACACCTCACTTGAGACTGATTTCAAAATATATATTGAGATGATGATGTTTGAGGTGATGATTTACATCAATGCTTGGTTTGAAAGATTCTAATTTGGAGAATGTAAATCTTGGTACTACTACAATAGATCAGGACTCAAATACTTCAACTCCTATAGAGTGAACTATGCTCCAAAGGGGAATGTTGGTAACAATGAATGCGATTTCATTATAATCCTCCATCTATCGTACAAATAGTTTATTCATCTAAAATATGATCTGATTGATGAGATATAAGAATGAGTTTTTAGTAGTGGCAACTATGGTGTCAAAGTATGAGTATCAGCTTGTAAGTGATTACTATTCATAGAGGGGAACAAGTATATCTTGGGCATGCTTGTTTTAAAGAGTTAAATTCACCACATTAAACATTTGAGAGATTCCAACATTCATGGGTACTAAATTGCACTTTAGTACGTCTTTTCACTCACAGATAGACAGACAGTCCGAGAGGAATTCAGGTACTTAAGGATCTTTTGAGATTGTATTCTAAATATTTGGGTAGCTAGAAGGATCACATTCTGCTGATAGAGTTTGTTTTTAATAACAATTATCAGTCCAGTAGAGGTATGACCCCTTATGAAGTTCCAACTATAATAGAGTGATTATGGCTTTTAACTGTTAGTTTGAATCATATATTGATCATTTGAATTAGGCAGAATCTAAAGCCACCTTCCAAATCCCAAGCTTCTTCGTCTAGGGAACTTGAGGCATATATGATAGCTTGAGGCAACAACCTAGAAGGTGTTTAACAAATGTTAGCCTAAGTTAGTGGTATAGGACAATGGCACTCGTAGGACTGCAAGTCTACCCCTGTGTCTTTATTTTTCCCATCTCCAAGGATTACTTCACGGGATGTTATTCCTTTAAGTGTTCTTTTTTCTCCTCTGAAATTTAGCAAGTCACATCCAAGTGCCCAATAATTTTTGGGATTTAGATTCATCATTTTTGCTAGATGCCTGTACAACACATTCATCGAGCTCCCAGTGCTAACGAGGATCCACATTTGCTCATAATGATTTATGGATCACCAAGTCAATGATGCATTATTAAATACATTCTAGGTGCAAGGAAGATAAATATTTGAAAAGGAAACCAAGAGAGGAGGTGGATTCGTAGAAATTAACTCATTTTGCAACCTCTGTAGACTATTGTTTTGGGAGGCTTTGACACCTACATATCCTATGAAGATGTTAAGTTAGATAATGATGTGTAATATGTTGTTTTCCATCATGTTTGTGTCTATCTCATTGCACTTCCCATTGCTCTGGCCTTCTTAGCTATGTGTACACCGGAGAAGGGAGTGGTGGTCTTGCCATTAAGTGCACTTTCTTGAGATTTTTTCCAGCAGGGCCTTAAATACTCATGAGTATTTAGTGTCGTGTTTGTTCTCATTGTGGCAAAGACTCCTTTTTCAGTTACTGCGATTGGCTAGATTGTTGTGGAGAGCCATCAATCATCTAAAATATTATTTTCCTTGGATGGCCGATAAAATCTCTTCAATTCTCATAGTGAACGCCGAATGGTGGTATTTAGGTCCCTTGGAGTAAAAAAGATGTGATTCTTGTTTAAGTTGGCACCCATATTATTAGTGGATAAAGGGTCATTTGTCAACCCCCATTGGAGGTGATTGAAGCTGGATACCAAATTATTATGATTAGACTAGTTGTGCAAATCATACCCAATAATACATGCATGGTGTCACAGGGGTACCACTATCATTGTCCACAATATGGGATGCACATTCAAGAATTTATACCGAAGGCATTGGATTTTTCTTGGCTAGAGAATTCTTGAAAAGAGAGTTTCAAAGACCTAAGGTAAAGGCTTTCTTTATTACCTCAGGGTTTTAGTTGGTGACCTCTAATGAGGCTTGGGTAAATCTATATGCATAGCATTGGAAGGATTCTCGTTCCCCTTGCTTAACATGTAGCAAGGTATTGGCAGATGTTAATGACCATTTAGAGGCAACAAATTCGTCTACGAACCTATTGAAGGAAGTGATACTGTCATACCGTAGTCTCACGAACCACCTGTATGCTTCATCTTGCAAGTTTGTGGTGAGGATATGATAACATAGGTCGCTGGGTACAAGAGCGAATGCCATGGCGTTGTCAAACTCTCCAAACGTTTAATGGGGTATGTTCCTCCTTTATAGAGATGAAGTGAAGGAGTTTTCAATTTGACGGACAGAGTTTTTGCTCGGATATTTGTAGAGAATGAAGTGCAAATCTCTCACTCTATGTTGATTTCTAGGGTTTCCAACATAGGCTACTTTCCTTGTAAGTTGGTTGCTAGGATGGATTTTGAAGCTTGCAAGCACAATCATCTATGTCACCAAGATTGTCGAGTGTTGTTCATTAGGCGTAGTGGAGAGCAATGGCAGGTCAATGGTGTCTGAGGTGGCTAGAGCATCAACATGCGCATTTTTTTGAAAATGTCACATTCAAGTGGGCTTCAACTTTGCTTGATAGATCTTGGAACTGTGATGGGTGTGCCTAGAGACAGAACTAGGATAAGGTGCCTTCCAGTCCATTCTCAGAGATGGTGATGGCGGTTGATAGTTCGTTGTGATCAAGGTGGTCATCAATTTGATCATTTTTACTCACTCAAGGATCTCTATGAGAGCACAAAAAAGATGCTAAAGGGTAAAGTCAGTTAACAAAGAATCTCCATTAGTTTGACAAAGAAAAGGATTAGAAAGTGAGCTTTAGAGGAAAATTACTTGAGTTGATAGGAGTGGAATCTAGTGTTTAGAATTTCAACAAAACTTAAAACAAAAAAGAGACCGAGAATTTAGAATGGTTTGGCAGTCTCAACCATGTCCCATTTTAGCTCAATGATTGGTTCATTTGAATTTCACCAATTACAGTTAATGGACCGTGTATAGTTAAAACGACGGCCTTCCGATGACCCGGTTAGGAGAGTAGAGGTATTAGATTTGACTTATATTAAGAAAGGTAGAGGCAAACCTAAAAAGACTGGGTTAGAAAATATTAGGAATGACCTTTTTTTATTAGATTTAAATGAGAAGTTAACTTTTAATAGGTCACAATGGAGTAAAAGAATTCATGTAGCCGACCCCACGTGGTGGGATAAAGGCTTGATATTGTTGTTGTTGTTGTACAGTTAATGGACCGTGTATTACCTAGGTCTAGCCTGCCTTATTCAGACATTGGATTATAACACGAGCTTGTTCTCTTGATTTGTGAGATATCATCATCATTTTAATGACTTCAGAGGTTTCATGGTTGGATTATGATTGTTCTAGCTGGTAGGGTGGAATAACTTGCCAAAAGTGGTTTCTAAGGCCCATGACAAGTTTGGATGGTCAGATTGATCCTAGGATAAAAATCCTAGTAATTTACTTTGCATTGATCCCAATTCTGATGGTTATAATGATAGTTAGATGGTTGATATAAAAGCATGGGAAACGAGTCTTCATAATGAGGGTATGATGTTAAGGACTCAGATTTGACTAAGGTTTTTACAATTATGCTAATTTTGCTTTACCCATTCAAATTCAATGATCTAAGACTCATGCTCTGTAGCATTACACTTATTATACTTAAAGTATTAGCAACTTTGGTGTTTTTACCAAATTTGTGTTTGTGGATGTCACTCTCGAAGCAACTAAACCTATTTAGCATGTCATGAACTAAATTTCTTTTGGACATGCAAATATGTATGAGATTCTTGATTCGAATAGAGGACATA